GCAGCAGGGAGTTATAGTTAGAGCTGTAGACTGGAGGGCCACAGGTTCAAATCCCAGGTGGGGTGTTGCTGTGGTACAGTTGAACAAAGGTATTTCACTAACATTAAGAAAACTCTGGGTACTGAAAATATCATATACTGTACAGTATTGTATGCACATTATAGGACAAGTAAGAAGCTAAATACTGTACATTGCATGATACCTTGAATAATTAGAAAAACTGACCATGTTAGTTGTCATCATTGAACTGTTATTGTTAATTGCTAATAAGTATTCTTTTATTACCGGCTTCCTGTTTAAATACACTGAAAATACTGTTAAATCAAGTGTAAATGAAAATAAATGAAAAAAGAGAAAATCCATTCCTAATGTGGTGAATTCTGAGTGTTTTAAACTAGTTACCAAGACTAATTTTTGAAAGGAGAGACACTGCTTTTTCTAGTGTGAGTGCTCTCTTGAAGCCTGGGAAAAGAACAGCTGTAAAACATACAGGAAAGAAATAGTATATGCAAAGAACATGGAAATTAATTGGGAAGCTTTACAGGCTTTCAGCTTTGCAGACACCAATAATTTTTCCTCCAATACCAGGGACAAACGCGGGTCATGATGTCCCTGGAAAGCATGAAAAATGACTTCCTCTACAAGCATAAGGAAGAAAAACTCAAACATACTTAGCAATTGTCTCTGTGACTTGGCTAATGATAGCACATGGTTTCCAGTTACAAAGCTTTTTTTTTTCTAACATGGTATAGCCTGCAAGGAAACACTAATCAGAAAGAAGTACCACAAATCAATAGCTAGCTGCATCAGGTCCACTTCTTCCCATCAAATAGAGCTGAAATGGCTCCATCTTTAACTTTCCCTCAAACAAACCAAAAGGAAACTGTGCGCATAGTATTAGTATCACGTTGATTCAGTTTTTTCCATCACTGGGATATATTAAATAAAATATATTTTCTACACTAAATGTTTCCACCTTACTTTTTCTGTTGACCATATCCTAATTCCCTTGTGTACCGCCAAGACACTTCTATTTAGCAAGCAGTAATACACTGTGAAGAAAGGTATGCATTAAAGTACAGTCTTAGAGATACACACATACTGAATATGAGGACATAAATGCATACGAGGATCTTACAGAACTGGTACAACCCTGCAGGTTCAAGGTTACACAATTCCAGACAGTAAGATTCGCGCCACCAGCCACGGTGCCAAAAGAGTAACTCTGCTACACTGCCGCTGCATGTGATAATGGCAGTCTGTCGAAGTGCAGAGCACTTGCTCAAGAAAACAGCAAGAATTCTCTGGGAGTACAAAAATAACTTGTAATAAACTTAAGTGTCCGGGTGTGCCACAGAATGATGAGGAGTTAATAATAAAGAACAGGACTAAGTTTCTATCCCAGTGAGTCGCTGCTTCATTTTATATCCCGATTCCATTCAAGTTGCTATGTGTCACCTGTGAAGGTACAACCCGCTAGCTGGTCATTATATATGAATGACCGTTAAAATTACATGATACCATTTTTATTAAAAAATATATTATTTGCCACTGGTTTCTTGAAAGTTTTTTTTTTCTTTCGTCTTCCTTACCCTCACCTTATGAAATAATTAAACAAATGGATAGTCATTCGTTTAACATCGAAGTGCCGTTACAGCTAGAAATAGTTCTGTACTTTTTCTCTTCTCTGTCCAGCTGGTAGTGCAAGCAAGGAACCCCACAGGGCAAGACCAGAAAGTGGCAGGATGAAGCCCAGTTGTGAAACTCTGCCACTTTTTCAAAGATGCGACAATGGCAACAGACTGCCTGAACAGCAGGGCATGAGTCAGGCGTTAGGACGGGAGCCTAAAATGGATTATTACAATTATAATCCCAATTAATGATCCTTACACGCATCAGGGAGGACTGTCAATCAACTACTTAACCCAAGGCTGCCATGAAAAAAATGAATGCAAAAACGAGAAAACATAAAAAAAAGAATCTGCATTTTTAAAGACGCATCACACCAAAAATAACTTATTTTCTCAATTATCGAATACTGTGGACTCTAGTAGGATGGTCTCTTATGTTTTGCAATTTAAAGTTAAACATGAAGCCCTTTAAAGAACAAGCAAGTCTTTAAAACCAATACTTTCCACAACATCCTCAAAGTATTTGAAACCCATGTATCCCATATCCCAAATAAAGCAGAACTTACTCTACAAGATATTTGCTTACTTAAATCATTCTGAAATGAAACTGGAATACAATGGAATGAAACTTGAAAAAATAAAATTGTGTCTTCTTGTTTTCTTGATATCCTGCGTTCTTGATGTCCAAATGCATGACCAGCTGAAGGGCATCACTACATAAATATTCATCTTTTCAAATCCATTCCATTGACAAACCAGCTCCTTATTTATTCAAACTGCAAATCAAATTAAAAAAAATAATAAACTAACAGAAAACTACTGTAGTGCAATCAAAGTGTCCTGTTTCAAGTAAGCTTGCAAAAAGGATTTCATTTAAAAAGAGACAAATGAATGGTCTACAATAATGCTTTCACTTATGTCCCTGAATGTCTTCTAAATAATGGTTGTCTTAACAAATGGGGGGAAAAACTAGTATTTTAATGGCAATGAGTGACTGCCTCTGTCGGTCACATAGCTTTATTAGGCTCTGGTCTCTCCTTGCTTTGTGATCAGTTCTGAAAGAGAAAGGATGAAACAGCTACTTTCCTTTGGCACTATTTCAGAAGAGTACTATTCACTAATTGAAAAAAGTGATTAGGCATCCAGATTAAATGGCCCTGAATAGCAATGACTCCTGCACTATTGCAAAACTATGAACAGACAGTGGAGGAGACAAGGGCCAGCAGACTAAAAGCATTTACCTGTCTGATATATTAATGGTTTGAGTGTTTCACTCTATCACTTTCGTGTTTAATAACATCTGATTTTGCAAAGACATGACCAGAATTATCAGAAAGCCACAAACAGAACAATAAATGATCCAATGGTAAAACCAAGAAAAGACCTGAAATACTGAAGTCCTCAAAAAGATCTTTCCAAGATGGGCAATTCTAACTCATTTTACTATTATTTATTTTTTTATTAAATGGCATTAAAATAAAGATCCATCCCTCCTTCGTCTAATGACTTTACCCAATACAGACACAGGGGAGCCGGAGCCTATATTTTCTGAAAAGTGCATACTATGTATTAGATGTAATAAATAGATGTCTTTGGAAACTACATCCTCCGATATAATGCCATTCTTGTTCATATTTCTATCTCTAGGGCATAGAAACTACACAGGGGCATGAAGGTTTGTTATAGTGCCAAAACATCATTGTATACTACGGCTATTAATACTACATGTACCGTACTTCACATACTGAGTAATATTATTAATAATGGATGTTGTAAGCTTAAAAAGTAAAAGATGCTGAAAGAGAGCAACTTAAATTAATGGAATCTGTGAACATAATCTATTCTGATCAGTGGAGTCCACCAAACTATTGAGAACACACCTCATTATCCTGAGTCAGTGATAAATATGTATCTGTTATGCTGGGCATGCAGCAGCAATACCATGCTAACCTGAGGAGGATGACTGGGCTGATAAGCGAGATGGGATAACACACCGTGAAGTTCTGATCTCCAGTCACTCCCACTGGGTACATCAGAAATTAAAACCCAATGTCATGTTTAAAATATGCAATCTTACTTAGTATCTTTCAACAACTGCAAATACAAAAACAAAAACAAGCTTTAAAATTACAAAAATGAATTCAAATGAAAAATGAATCTAAGTACATACTGTATTTATAACAATAACACCCTCAATGGAAACATAGACTGACATGATTAAGATATGGATGAATACCTTTCCCTCTGAAAGATGGGGCAACAAAGCCAAGCTGACAGCCAAGCAATCTGAATTTACAATCAAGCAATTCACATGAATGGCAAATAAAATACATATTTTTAATTCAGGGTTATTCAGACACAGTCATGCATGTCCAGGCCATGATATTACCTCCACCGTGGTTCAGAATTTCCTCAGTACAAGTACAAAGATGAGCCAGGGGAGGTAGGGAACAAAGCTTAATGGACAGATGAGATCAAGAAAAACTTGACCAAAGCGATGGAAAGGTTCAAGTGTGGAGAAAAGAAAGGAACTGCAGATGCTCCAAAGAACATCACCTCATCGCTGAAGAATGCCCTGGCTTGGGCAGACATGGCTGCCTCTGGAACTGGCTCACTCATCTTTATTGATAATGTAACTGATGATGGCAGAAGTGAAAAGGATTCTGACGTTTCCAAAACATTTTATCTGCTTATGAAGAAGAAAATACTTTCATACTTATAGGATGGCACTTTTCCATTAGCATGACAATGACTCAATACATACACCCCACATAATCAAGGCGTTCATTAGGAGAAAGAAAGTGGAAACTCTCAGACTGACCAAACCAATATCAAGTCAGAATACTAAAAGAATAAGCAGGAACACAAAGTGGATGCAGCAAAACATTTCAAATGATTTTGTGAGGTGAGCTGATTTGCCAACCTCAAGCAGGTACTGCCTCTAGCGAAACCAAACCAAATAGTGACTTTTACAAGTCCAAAATCTATTTAAAGTGAATGTTTCTCAATACTTATGGTCAATTCAAATCACTAGATTGAACACAAAGTAGGTTTTTTTCATATGATCAAATGGCTGTATTTATTACCCTCAAAATAGAAGTACATTTTACTGTACTTAATATTCATATTAATCTCATTATTATAAATAGAAATTGCTTCATGGTAAATCAAAATGAACTGATTTGACTTGATCATACCAAAACTTTTGAAGGGCACATAATTTCTGCTCTTGAATTGAATTAGCACTGCACAGCAAATACTGTAGAGGAAGTGAAATACTCAAAACTCAAAAGACCATATCCAGGATTTGGTGCACTTATAAAAACATACAGAACATCTTGATGAGATTGTGCTGTAAAAAGGTCCTACCTTTGATGACTGTGAGGTTGCCAGTAGAACTGTCTGTTCCATGCTGATTGATGGCTTCACACCTGTATGACCCGCTATGTGATTCCGCAGCTTTGTTTATCCGGATTTCAGAGCCCTTCTTACTGCAGGAGACAGTAAAAAACGTAAATGTCACTTCAGTGATCAATACTGTACTGAAGAGTTGATGGGAGTGCTAAATCACATTGCATGTGAGTGCTACAAACCAACCTTTTTCGTGGTAAAACAGTCTAAATGTATTTTTTATGTCTGCCATATCAAACTTTAAAAGGAAAAAAAAACATTAATATATCCGTATTATTAAAGAAAACAAATAGTACTAAATTCTACATTGAAAAGCCTTTGTGAGGACAAAGACAGGTACAATAATTGTGTGAAAATTGACAGCCAGCAGCTTTAAAACCTCTTTCATGTAAGAGGGGAAATATACCTAGCCTCTTTCAGAGTGAAATAATAAAACCATGGATTTCACTCGACTCCATGCAGGGATTAGCATATACAGTATATATTCATATATACCAAGGTATCAGCATGTCAATAAACTAAGCAGAAACACACGAGGTTGCGCAGATTGTAAGTTAAACAGCTTTGGTCAGAATTCACCATTTTTAAGTTTTCTTCGAGCAACTCATACACAGAAAGAACATATTTATTTTCCTCTCACTTTTTCATTTTTTTGATGCGAATGCCTTTGGGCTTGTTTTTCCCAGACAGCACTTTGCCGTCTTTGTACCACTTGAAGTCGGGAGCTGGGTTCCCCGCTCTGGCTTCGCACTTCAGAAACGCTGTCCTGCCTTCTTCCACTTGCATACTCTTCACATCCTTCAGCTTCGGGGGAGCTGAAAACACAGACAACACACAAAATAATGAGGTTCAAACTTTAAGATCAAGATGGTGTGGATGTGCCCATCTTTTCTTCGATTGTGATAATTTTCAGGCTAATAACACAGAAGGCACATAAATACTGTACCTCACAGAGCATTTCACTTGTAAGGTCTAAGTAAATATTGAATTCAAAATGAAGACATCCAGTTATTGTGAGCCATTCAGGGTGTGCATTCACAGGATAGCACTCTCAGCGAATGCAAAGCATTCACATCTGTTTTCTTCAAGACATTTCGAGTATTGAGGTGGTGCAGAACATAGGACACTTGCAACCAGGGGGAAGCCAATCAGACCATCAGCTTGGTGGCTTTTTCAGTGATTTGATCCAAGAATCTCTTCCAACTATTTCTTGACATTTTCTTAAAATAAGCCATAGCAGGAAATTCAACAATATGGCTGGGCAGTTTGTTCCATACTTCCACAAAACCACTGAGCCTCCCATGTTTTTAAAACACTGTTCCCGCTTTGGAAGTGACACCAACTGAGCGAGGTCTGTTTGGATGGAGCGTAGTGCTTTCTGTGGGTCTGAAGAAAGCATTAAACTTTTGAAATCTTTCAAAAGTTTAGTAAAAAAAATAAGAGGATAAAATGCTGTTTCAAAATTTCATCCAATACTCTTTCTTCCAATGAGATGATACTCTTTAGTCAATGTTAGTAAAAAAACTTGAATTCTTGAGAAATGGTGTTATTTTTTTACCTTAGATGTTTATTAACACAGAAATGTGATTGAATTATCTGTTTTGAAGGTTATTATTCTCACCTGTACTATTTAGAGGGTTATATTATTCAACCCTCTAATCTTAAATGTCAGGTTCCTGTCACGGAGGAACTGAACACTTAACTATGTGAGTTTAACAATTAGATGGTAAAATAGGTGAGGTGAGAGAGTGAGTCAAAGTTTTCAAACATGTACAAACAGCATTCCTGCGAGTGCCCACGTACTGGAACACAGCCCATGTAATACTGTAATCTGTTGTGAAATTCATGCCAACAACTTTCTTTTTCAGAAAATCCCATTTATTGCACAACTCTCATGTGAAAAAGTCATCAAGAGTAGTAGAGTACACCCAGAATGGTTCCCAAATACAATTCTGCCTCTTAAAAATAGGTCCTGTACAATTATACAAAAATGAAATAAAGAATAAAGAATACTAATCTAATAACAGATGTACAGTATTTAATAAAAAAAACAAATCCAAGTGTCATCAAATACCTCCAAAAATATAAAAACTATGATCTCCAGCAAAATCATGACATAGTATTACAGTAGTACTAACAGACAATCACTATTTTTATTCAAACCCTCAAAGAGACATTTAGAGAGAAACATTGCTAGGTAGTCTAAGAGGAAATGACTGAAATATAGCTGCTTGTACAGCTAGCAACCTTTCAAAGAATACACAATCCCTGTTGTATTTGGAACTAGATGAATCTTTAACCTATGTTTAAAATATCCATAAATACTAATTTTCCACATCTTGGAAGCATTTATTTTTTAGTCAAACTAAAATAACGCAAACTCAGACCATGAGCGAGTTAGAAACAGAAAGTCAAAATTCACAAACGTTTTTCAAAAGCGAGGCTGTCTGGAAAAAAATGGAGACTTATATTTGCTGATTATTGTATAATGGTAGCTTTCACAGCACTCTCATAAAACTTACATTTTTAGAAGCTTGTGAACTAAAATAAAAGAAAGAATTACTTAGGTATAATATGAAAGATCACATATTTTTCTGTTTTAAATTCACTGTGTCACAAAAAGACAAAATTACAGAAAACAAAAACAAATAATAAGATTTAGCTTCCAGCATGAAATGCCAGGAAAGAAGAAATAGTGAAGAGTCACAATATGAAAATCCAAAAGATGGACCCAAATAATGTGATTACTAACTGCAATGACCTGAATTAATGCGTCTGTCTGGTTTATTTGGAAGAATGACACAGTCTAATTTTGAATTATTATAAAAGATGAGATTTTATAAGGAGCTTATATGCACACATCTGCCTAATTAAATGTGTCACCATCACAGCTGCTGACCCTGGAAACAGTGACACAAGCATAATTAATGCACAGAATTATTAAGTCTAGTCAAGATCAGGCAAAGTCTCCTACATAAATTGTACTTCTTGCATCAAAACAAATGGCATTGCAGCCTTCTGGGAAATAACTTGATTTTCTGTTTGTTTGTTTTTTGGAGGGTAATATTCTTGATTTTTTAAATGTACAGCATTTACACAAAGGTGCAGCTACTGTATATTTCAGTCTACAGCAAAAGCAGACATATGTACTTTATACACAGGTATGTTATACCTGACGTTTGAAATAAGAATTATTTTTCATTCACAACAGAACTCTCAAATGTTTTTTTTTTTAGGAATCATGCAGACAATCCAGTTTTGAAGTAGTTAATACATTGCTTTTAAAAGCTCAGTTTTCCTTGCATTTTACATGAGAAGTAACTTACAGCCTCAGGCTTTCAATGTCAGTTTAAAGGCACTAGAAAAGCCATTTCAGGTAAAATGCCTAAACTTCCACATTGCAAATGAAATAAATGTACAACATTAGAAGAGCATAACCATGATATGTACTAATTGTTGAATGTACTGATGTGTTGAATCTACTGTATATTCATTGTTTTTACCTCTCAATATGTCGAGAGGCTTTGGTCAGAAGAATTAATCCACAATCAAAACAGCACATATACTGTACTGTTTTAGCAGCCCAACATTGCCAATTGAAACCAAATAGTAGAGGATGGGGGGGGTAACTAAAACTTTTTTATATGATGGGTGTTCGATAGCCTTTGATAACAGAGCCAGTACTGTTCTTAATCCGCCCACGGTGGTCCAAATGTTAATGAGGAGGCAACAAAAAATGTGAGCTATGTCAATTCAAAGAAATAACGTGAAATGGGACACCAGGCATCAGGTCTGATTCATGGTCCTCACAACAGCTGCCAGGGGTAACGGCTGTCCCAGACAAAAAGCCCCCTGCTACCCACAAGTTGTGCGGCAGCGTGCTTACATCACAGAAGTGTCTCCACTTGTGAAAAACTGCGGCGTATCTATCCGTTGTGCTGTTTACTTTCTACGTGTTGCTACCCCAAAAGGCTTAACTTTCTTCCCCGTGACTTGAAAATGATTATGAGATGATTGTTGTGGATTACATTTAAATGCCTTGTTGCTCTAATTACACATGACTCAGAATTCAGAATTATTTGCGCCATCGTCTCTCCTTCGTTCCCCATCTCTCACCTAAAAAACATCTGTGTGCACTCACAACGTATTATGTATATTTTACTGTGACAACATACAGCATATTATGAATTAATGCTAATAACCTCACCAAATGAATGATGCACAACTTGCACAAGAAATAGTTGACGTGTCAATTGAAAGAGAATTCGAATTAGAGAATTAGAAGATTAGCAAGAGGGTAACAGGTGTATTTTGCAGTGAAAACCAAGCTATTTAGCACTGACAGCCTTGGTATCCAAAGTTTGCACAGTGAAGCCTGATTTGTTCATAAAAGCCGTATGAAAAGATAAGCTACAGGAACTATGAAAAATTGAAGGATAAAGAGACCGGTAACTGCTTATATTACCTAGCACGTACAGTGACTTCAACATCACATCTGGTTAATACAATGTCATAGAAAACAATCTACTCATGTTTTCCTAGAAATTACCTAAATGGATATATCAATTATTTGTGAAAGATTAGTCCTGGAAGTAGCAACCAAACAAGCACCGTGATAGAATTACCCCCTCTTGATTGTAACCTTTCTTGAGTCATTGCATTCTTAAGCCTTCCCTGATCTACACAGCATTTGATTGGTAGGTTCAATGTGGTAGTTTGGAATACCTGGAATTTAAAACATTTCAAGGAAATGCAGTCAGATACCAGTCAGAGTGTAACACCTGCAAGAGTGAGTTTTTAATCAGGCACCGAGAGGAGATAACACTCAAAATCAGGAACAATTCAATGGTTTCTGATTTTGACAGTTTCCTTCTGCATGCATACAGTAAGTACTTTAAGTATTTTTTATAGTTCTGAATTTCCATATTTTTAATCTGGGTAAATTCCAAAACAATTTTTTAAAGAGAAACTGGTAAGGCACACTTCTGATCACAGGCATGAATGAGTTACACTGACAAGCAGAAACCTGGCAAAAATACACCTGTGATGTCAGAGCTAACCGCAATTCACTCTTCCATTAACAGGGAGCTCTTTAATTACACAGGTGGCTCTGGGTCTTGGCACTTACTTGAACTGGCCAACCTTGAAGGGAAACACTGGGTTTCCCACTGAAATCAAGTACCTTTACATTCATATTTTCCTTTTGTTTGTAATGGAGCATTTCCTTAGTCACAGCTGCTGCTTTCATTCTTAATGAAACCGCTGGAGAATAAAGCCAAGCCCTAACCCAAACCCTCAGTCTTGCAAATATTTTATCAGATAAGCAGTGGCTTTCGATCAAGAAATTCCAGAGCTCGCAAGTATAATTCTGCCTTTGTACTGTCGTGTCACAAATATATTTGCCCTTCTGAAAAAAAAAATCACTATAATGAAATATGGTCCATTATTTCTAGTATTATATATCTACTGGGAGGAGAAAATATTACAAACAATTTTAGAAAGCACAAGCCAGAAAACTTTCAAACAGAATTGCATACTATTTGCCGAAAGAATGAAGATACTGTATGTACCACACATTTTCTTATATACTTCCTTACATCACATACTGGTCATCAGTGAACGTATACATATTTGTGTAATTAAGTTGATGTCTGTTCAAGTGCTAAACTTTATCTTATGACAATGGACAAATTTAGAGAACAAAATATGAAATAATCTAAAGCATACTAAACATTAAACATTTTGAACATCAGTTGTGCAACAGTAGACTGAAATGCATAATGAAGGACATTGACACACCAGTCAATATTCTTCC